TAAGAGAGAGAGAGTTGTTCTTCGGTGGATTCTGAAGAATTCGAGCCTGAAGCTTCGGTGGATTCTGGAGTGGCTCATCGTAAAGACAATTCCGAGGTGAAGACGGGGTTGGAAGAGGCACATAGAGGTTGGTTCGATTAGGCGTGGATTCGCTAGGTCATTGAGAGTATACCTGTGTAATTCCTTTAAATCTTCTTAGTGGATTGTTTTGTGGCTGTTGCCCGTGGTTTTTTAATCACAGTTGGAGGTGTCCAATTGTGGTTTTTTCCACGTTAAAATCGTTGTGTTGATTTGTCTTGATTGTTTGATTGGGATTGTTATATACTGCTTAAAATTGTTACATAATCACAAATCAATATCTAGGGGATTTCTAGATTTTTCAAGCTATGCTCATAATCATCTCTTGCGCCACAGGTGACAATTATCCAAAATTTAATTTAATTTATGTGCAAATATATTGATTTTCGGGAGTTAATCGACAAAGATTTCTCTCAACCGAATAACCTCCCACTGACTATGGCATGTCAAAAGCATGATAAATTCTATACAATAGCATCTTAATGTAAATTTACAAATAACTCATGCTATATTCATTTAATAATGGAATTCAAATAAATAAATAAATAACTAATCATGCTATTCTAATTACAACATATTAGAAACTCTAAAAAAATAATATGCTGTATTAAATATTCAAATTATGCCATAACAGAATGTACATCATCTGAATTTTTCTAGAACTTTTATGAATTTTTCTGGAATTTTAAATAACTAATAAACACACATAAAATTAGAAATAAATATTCCAGAATCTGGTAAAATGCTACAATAATACCAGTAAATAGTAAACCATAGTAGTAGTCTACAATAAAAAATTCAGCTCCAGAAACTTAATCATGCAACACCAGATGCATTTTAAACCAGAAATAATGAATTATTATTTCAAGAAAAATATTTTTTATTTTCATAAAATTTTCAAAATTTTACAGAAGATAAAAAATTTAATTCTGAGTCTAACGGTACCAACCACGCTTAAAACAAAGCTATAACGAATTAATTATGATCATTTAACGTAATTCAGAATTAAAAAAGAACAAACAGAGCCTTAGAACCAGGCCAGCTGGGAAAACGGCTCAGCTCGGCTCGCGCCACTCAACTCAGCGCAACTCGACGCCAGGTGGCTCAACAGCGACGCGGCGCATGGCGCACGCGTGGCGCGGCGCAAAGCGGCGCGGCTAACGCGCGTGTGTAAAGGGCGCGGACAGCGCGCGCGTGGAGCGCGTGGTGGCGCGTCGAAGCGTGTGGAACCGCTGGGCGGCGTTATATAGCGCGTGAGGCACACGCGCCGCCTTCCACGGTGTTTTCTGGTCTAATTTTGGTACTGCCGGACTCCACTTTTCGCAATAAATACATTTATAGTCTCAAAAATGACATTTAATGGACATAAAAATGAGATGTATCACATTCTCAATCTAATTTTCATGCAAATAATATGTATGTATATTTGTATAAAATTATACACATATTTTATCGCATACAACTAAGCACGAAAATACCTATATTAGGCTCTGATACCAATGTAAATCAAAGTATTATATTACAGCGGGAAAAAATATCATAATCATACCTTGTAGCGAAGAACCTCGTGGGTAAATCACGTGCTTCCAAAATCTGAACAACGAACCTAGCAGTGGAGTGATACTATATTACAGCGGGAAAAAATATCAGAATCATACCTTGTAGCGAAGAACCTCGTGGGTAAATCATGTGCTTCCAAAATCTGAACAACGAACCTAGCAGTGGAGTGATACTACAAAATGAGTATCACCCACACAAGTCACAGTGCAAAATGACTTGATCATTGTTTTCTGGGAGAGAGTCAGAGAGAGAGTATGGAAAAAAAAGTTATGGGTAAAAATCACATAACGTATATCCGATATACGTATCTGATCTATTAAATATATAATCAGATATAACAACCGATATCTATCTATCCATCTATCTATATCTATTGATATGATAGATATAGATATCCTGAATGGTTATCCAAATAAGTTTTGAATTCAAATTCAAACTTACATGGATAAGGTTCAAAAGGTTCAGGTTCAAAGGGTCATGCCACATGGGCACCCAATTTTTAACACTACTCAAAAGGTTTTGGGATTAAATAGAGTATAACTCTTTCAAAGAAGACTTGCGAGTAATTTGCCAAAAAAGAATTTAGAACAAAGTGAAGAGGTGTTGTTTGTCAAAGTTCTAGGCGATTTCCTCAAAAAGAAAAAGTTCCAGGTGAGGAAGATGAGATGTGGAGTTAATATTTTTAGAAGAAAAATTTTATGAATCCCAC